CATAACAGAATGTCAACTTTTCTTCCACTTGTCTAATATCTGGAGCAAATGTCTCTGCCTTTGACAGTAAGTAAAAGAGGTCCTTCACTTGTACAGTGAAACTCTCAGACTTAACCTGACCGCTTGCCAGCAGCTGTACCAATCGCAGTTAATAACCCTGGCATCTTAGCTGAGGAGGCGGATCTGTGTCCCTCTAGCTGCTCTAAACACCACAGACCCAGGGCCACTGCTCCCTTTCCCTTCACTGAGTTATCATCTAATGATCCACTCTTGGGTGTTGTTGAAGGTTAGGATGATCAAAAATAATTTAAGTTTTTAAAAAATACCTCCTATAAAAATCTAGGTTGAAGACTATGCCCATTTTGCAGCCCGATACACCTTTTATAAGTTTCCAGGATACATGCCCTTTAGAATTGAGTGCCTAAAATTAGTTTTCCTACAAAAGTAGAGATGGGTTTGTATCAGTGATCCGGGATGGCATGGCTACTGTAATTAAAAACAGATTGAGTTTTAAGCTTTCAAAGAGCCAGTTCATAAAGGACAGTGTGGCCATTCTTATTTCATTACAGTAACTATATCACCATGATTAGTGGCTCAAATAAGTTTCTTCTACTATATAGTTTGGAATCTCTCTTAGTCTTTTTCAGTTAGTCTGTTTTATGTCTATTGAAATAGCTTAAGTCTTTCCTCATTCATTTTGGAAATATAAGTCATTTTAAGAACTAAAGGAATTTGCAATGACCCATCGACAGGATAGTTTAGAAAGGGAAAAAGAGGAGTAAAGAACTGGGTCACAGCATCGATGGGCTTATATTTGCAGTGCAATGGGAGTGAGCCAAAGCAATGCTCGTCACAGTGCTGAATTCTCCTGACATCCAACTGCGACTTGAAGTATTAGCTCAACAAATATTTGAGTGCGTAATTACACTAATTAGATGGGAGCTCGGGTGTCTGAGTCCTTGTGTAAAACAAACCCATCACCTGTTCATTGAAAGTTTAAAGCTGGATGAGACCTTGAAAGATCTGATCAAACTCTCGACCTCAGAGGAGCATTACATTATCAGATGGACAGCTTTCAGCACTTGCCTGAATATCTCCCAAAAAGGAGAAGCTGTGAGGTGCTTAGTCGCTCAGTCACGTCCGACTCTTTGCAATCCCATGGATTGTAGCCCGCCAGGCTCCTCTGTCCATGGGGATTCTCCAAGCATGAATACTGGAGTGGGTAGCCTAGCCCTTCTCCAGGGGATCTTCCCGACCCAGGAGTCAAACCAGGATCTCCCACACTGCAAGTGAATTCTCTACCAGCTGAGCTACCAGGGAAGTCCAAAAGGAGATGACACGGGATTAAATCATCAAAGACTTACCATCTAGTAGGCAAGATGCTCTACTTCGAATGGGGATTCAAAACAAAGAAATTGAAAACAACACGTTTAAGACTATAGGGAAACCATCCCATAAATTTTAGCACCTCCAAATTATGGAATGCAATGCAGCAATTAAAAATCACGTTATAGTAGGTTAGGTATTATCATATAAAAAGGTTTGTAATACATGAAATGAAAAACAACATACACAGGCAGAATATACAGTGTAATTCCTATTGTGTAAAGGAAAAAAATCTAACAGAGCAAATACACTAGAGTGAAATAGACCAAAATATTGAAAGTTATGCTTACTGCTAGGTGATAGAATTATGGGCAATTTTCATTTTCATCATTATGATTCTCTATGCTTTCCAATCTTTATATAATGAGTATGTATTATTTTATGATCATGCAAAACATGTTATTTTTTGAAAGAACAAATGAAGAGCCCTTACAATATAACTAAAATGTCTTAACATGTGAAAATTTGGATAATACTAAGGAAAAAGAGTTCAAACACAGAAATACAAATCAGGTCAATGCGAAGTGAAGACATGATTAATTATTAACGATCTCTGTCAAAAAAAAACATGGTCAGGCAGAGCGTTAACTAAACCAGGGATTTCTGAAGGACAGGAGCCAGGTCATAGTAACGTTTCAGAAGCAGTGTGCTGTGGTGTGTACATAGTTGCCATAGTCAGGCAGACCTGGGTTAGAATCCTGACTTTTTCCTCAGTAGCTGGATGACTTTGAATAAAGTCCCTTTATTTCCCTAAAGCTCAGTTTTCTCTTTTGTTGAGAGGTATTTTTAAAGGTGATGATAATGCATGCTAGGGCTGCTCTGAAGGCTCAGTGATATGGTGCGTGTCACGTCCTCCACACAAACCCAGGTCCCTAGTGATGCCCAGCAAATGAATGACTGCAGGGCTCTGGTGCTCCGAGTCTGGAGGAATCCTGGGATGAGTGAGAAGGTCTCGCAAGGTCTCTCTTCCCCAGCCATGTGAAAGAAGCATCGGGATCAGTATCAAGAGCCCTGGGTTCTAATTCCAGCACCGCCTTTAGCCCGTGTCAGCCTCTGTTTCCTTAGTTACAAAGGGAGTATGATAAACCTTTCTTTGCCTATTCATGGAGTTTGTTATCATATTAAGCCATGTATTCATTCTTTAATCAGTTTTTGAATACCTTCCTTTGTGATAAATAATATCCTAGGTGCTGGGGTTATGACAATGAGGAAAACAGAGAAAGATTCCTGGCCTTTTGGAGTTCATAATATGGAGGGACTGAAATAATAAATAAGATGAGTAAGTAAGATATACAGAATATTAAGTGGTAATAAGTGTTAATGGAGGAAAACGAAGCTGGGGCCAGGAATAGGAGGTGGGGGGGGGGGCTTTAATTTGGGCTCAAGTGCCAGGGAAGGGCTTCCTAAGAAGATGGCATTTGAGTAAGTAAATGCCTGATGGAAGTGAGGGGGCAAACTTCTGGCATTTAGGAGAAAAGATTGCAGACAGAGGAAGCAGCCAGAGCAAAGACGCCACGGCCATGGGTGACTAGTGAGTCAGAAACAGGATGGTTGGAGCAGAGGGAGGGAAGGCAGCAGCAGTGGGAGAGAGAAGCCAACACGGGAGTTTACCCTGGTAACCAGACGGGCTTCTGCTCCAAGTGAGATGGGACGCCGCTGGGGGTGTTAAGCATGGGACTGGCACAGTCTGATCTACATCTTACAAGGATACCTCCGCCTGCTGTCTTGAGAACACAGCACAGGAATCTAAGGGCAAAAGCAGGAAGATCGTTTGGAAGGATGTCACGGACCCCAGGTGGGGGAGTCAGTGGACGAGGATGGTAGCAGTGTTGCTGTTCACCCACTCAGCTGTGTCTGACTCTTTGTGACCCTATGGACTGCAGCACGCCAGGCTTCCCTGTCCTTCACCATCTCCTGGAGCTTGCTCAAACTCATGTCCATTGAGTCAGTGATGCCATCCAACCATCTCATCAGAGCCCACTTCTTGCTAACTGACATGCTTTTCTCCTCAACAGTCCTGAAGTAGCATAAAAAGCTTAATCAACCCAAATTACAGGGTCTGCTTAATTCCAGGAGTTGATTTGAATATCATTGCTTCAGGAGGAGGAGAAACAAGTCTTCCTAAGGAGAGAATTTCCTATTAGAAGGACTGTTCACAGAAGCGTGTCCTTGGCAGCCCATTAATTATATTTCATTTTGACAGATCTTGTATATAGTTGTTATGTCTTAAGGGGGGTAGGAAGGTGTTGGGTGATTAATTGGTCGATAGTATATGTTAATTGCATGCTAATTAAATTTAAATTTAATTCCTATTTGGAACACTTAATTTAACTCAGGACCAGAAAATTAGAATATTCAAGCTTCTTAAAGGAACATGTCTTTCTATCTGTCACCTTCATATGTCTGTTGACACTTCCTCCTTGTTTACAAACTTGTTTTTCAAGGAAAGGGATGAGATGGTTCTTAGAGCCTCTAGCTGTAATAGTATTGGTTCTTGCAGTACATAAATATCTAATTGATTTATTGAAAAAAATATATATATACCCTGTTACTTAGATTTGCTCTAAACAAGTTCTGTCAGGCTGGGAAAATGTACTCTTTGATTCCTTCCCTCCGGCTGCATAATTGAAGAAGCAGCTCCAGGACAGAGTCTGTACTTAGTTTCTAGAAAGGCACTGCGATGCTCCACTACCCCAAGGCAGGGGGAGCGGGGCATTCATGATACTGGGGGCTTCTGGGAAATTCTCTGGGGCTGTTGTTTCTTCTCTCCCTCAGGGAAAACCCCGGGGTGGGGGGGCACTCTGAGAACACTGTTGACAAAATATCCAGTATTTCCTCTTTTACAGTCCAGGGGTAGAAGGGGCCTCCTTCCAGTTCTGAGATGGGGAACCACATCCTTCATCTCCTCTTCTGTCCTAGGTAGAGAAGGTGTGTGTGTGTGTGTGTGTGTGCATGCGCGTGCACGCCCTAAGTCACTTCCGTCGTGTCCAACTCTTTGTGACCCTATGGACTGTAGCCCGCCAGGCTCCTCAGTCCATGGGGTTTCCCAGGCAAGAATACTGGAGTGAATTGCATGCTTTCTTCCAGGGGAGGCCACACAGGTGCCACCTAGGAAGTCCACCTAGGATCTGGTTCTTTGCAGATTTCCTTGAGGGTAGAGTACTAGGCCTTGGGACTTCTGTTTTTAGTCTTCAAAGAAAACCGTGGACCTCAAGTGCAGTGGAAGGAACATGGGTTTTGAAGTTTAACTGATTTGGATCTGTAGCCTGGCACTACCTTAGACAAGTTAATTCATTCTTCTGAGTCTCAGTTCCGTCATTTGTGAAAGGGGTGATGGTTCTAATCTTGCAGCACTGTTTTAAGGCTTCAATGAGACCATAAATGTTTGTGCAAACCTAACTCTGCACACAGTCAGATGACCAAGGCCTGGGCGCTGCTGTCGCCACCCCTGCCTGATCATCACCCGCCTCCCCTTTGGTCCCATGGAGCTGCCTGCCCCTGGGAGCAGCTCTCACGTGCAAGCTGCACCGTGGCCCGTCCTTGACACTGGACTGTCTTAGAACTGGCCTCTGAGCTTTGGCCCTCCTTCCCTCACTAACTGGCTCTCTCCTCAGCTGTCCTGGAGAAGCCTCTGGAAAAGAAAGCCGGCAGGAACTACGGTCCCCCAGGCAACAAGAAGCTCATCTATTTCATTGACGACATGAACATGCCAGAGGTGGATGCCTATGGGACTGTGCAGCCTCACACGGTCATCAGGCAGCACCTGGACTACGGCCACTGGTAAGCGAGCAGATGGAGGGACTCAGCCAGGCAGGGGACAGGTCCAGGGCCGGTTTGTCCTGCTGGAGCTGCAGGTCTGAGCTCAGCTCTGGCACCAGAGAAGGCGCTGGTCAGAGAAGCTACTGAGCTCTTATTTAAGGGAAAATGCCTATCCTTTCTTCACCACTCAACTCTAAAGTCGCCTTCTTCAAGCTTTCAAAGCATGATTAACCAGGACCANGCAACTCTGGCTTACCATCCTACCTCACACTGAATCCAGTAAGACCTTCCTGGAAATTCTACTGCATTGCCTTCATATGGTCACCTTTCTGCTCCCAGAAATAGCCGCTCCATGCTTCTCGCTCTCCAAGCTTGCCACCCAGCCTCCGCTGATGACCACACCCACTACCTCCGTCTCTAGCTTCCATGTCTATATAACTTACCTGCCTCCCTGTGCCTCCCCCCACCGCATCTTCCCTGAGGCTTAACCACCCACCAGCATCTTTGCGTCCACTCTTTCCACCTCTGAAATCTCACTTCATCTGTTAGTCCCTCTTCAGTGCCTTCACATCAATATTTAAACTTGCGTGAATTTAGCTAGTGAAGTGAAAGTCGCTCAGTCCTGTCCGACTCTTTGCGGCCCCATGGACTATATGGTTCATGGGATTCTCAAGGCCGGAGTACTGGAGTGGGTGGTCTTTCCCTTCTCCAGGGGATCTTCCCAGCCCAGGACTTGAACTGGGGTCTCTTGCGTTGCAGGCAGATTCTTTACCAGCTAAGCTATCTGTGTTCAAAAATATAATTTTCTGACTACTGCTCTGTCTCCCTCTGTGTTACCAGATTACTTCCCCAGTTTCCAATTCCTTATCTCCCACTCACTCCTCCAGCCACAATGATTGAGTTTCTGTTTCCTCCACTTTACTGTTCTTACTCAATAACTGTATCTTTATTATGACGTCTAACAGACCCCATTGGGTCACCATCTTTCTTATTTTCCGTACTCATTTGATGTGGTTGACTGCTCTGTCCTTTTGGAAATCCTGGCTTTCTGCGTACCACACACCCTTGATTTCCTCCTACATCTTTCACCATCTTTGTGGTCTCTTCTTCCTGTTCTACTTCCATAGACATGGTATCCCTTAAGAATTTGTCCTCAGCTCTTTTATCTTTTATCTACCAGTGGATCTAGTCTTTTTTTACCTCTCAAACACATGGGTGATTGGGCACATCCCAGCTCACCTTCACAACACGCTTTCCTGCCTGAGCCCTCACTCATCTCGCACCTGTGGCTTCTGACTGTTCCAGGTATGATCGAAACAAACTGTCCCTGAAAGAGGTGATGAATGTCCAGTATGTTTCCTGTATGAACCCCACCGCGGGCAGCTTCACCATCAACCCCCGGCTTCAGGTATGGGGGGGGAACTGTGACCTCGGGGTCTTAAACACCGCCTTCCAGGCTGGTGTCACTCATCTCTATGGGATAATTGGCTCTCCACCCATCCAGCCTCTTTACATGGTGAATCATACAGGATGTGGACTCGCGTTTCCAGGGAGACCAAAAAACACCTCAACCCAGACCCCCTGAAGATTTTTTTTCTTTTTTTTATAATTAACTTCCACGGGAGCATAGTTGATTTGCAGTGTTGTGTTGGTTTCTGCTGTGCCGCAAAGTGGATCAATTTTACATACACACACACACACACAGCCATGCACATGCACACGCACACACACCCGCTCTGTTTTAAATTCTCTCCCCATATAGGTCATTACAGAGTGTTGAGTAGATTTCCCTGTGCTGTACAGTAGGTCCTTACTATCTGTTTATATATTGGAGTGTGTGTATATATCAATCCCAATCTTCCAGCTTATACCTCGCTCCCATTCCCCCCTCGGTAACCCTGAGTTTATTTTCTCCATCTGTGACTCTTATTTCTGTTTTGTAAATAAGTTCACTTGTACCACTTTTTAAAGAAGCCTTTCGAGCCAGATGGAATCATCAGGTTCGTCTAATTCAGCCTGGCCTTCAGAATGAGAGAACTTCAGAGAGGTGAATGACCCTCCCGAGGTCACGTGCATTCTCAGTATCACGTTCAGATTTGGACCCAGAGTCCAGGTTCCCTTCTCTTCCTGCTATGCCACGCTGACGTCTTTGACCAGAGGTCCAAAGCCCTTCATTCATTCTTGGCTCAACTAAGTTTGGGTTTAATGTGAGAAGTGTGGCCAGAATGTAGAATTCAAAGCCCTTCTAAGAATTCTTGACCACTGTACATAATCCAGAAGAGATGTTTTCTGTTCTGTGACCACAGAGGGTAACTCGTGGCCTCCTCCCTGTGGCTCTCATTTTCCCGAGCAGCGTCACTTCAGCGTGTTCACCCTCTCCTTCCCGGGAGCAGACGCCCTGTCCTCCATCTATAGCGCCGTCCTGACTCAGCACCTCAGGCTGGGGAACTTTCCGGCAGCGCTGCACCAGAGCGTCCCCCAGCTGCTCCAGCTGGCCCTCACCTTCCACCAGAAAATCGCCACCACGTTCCTTCCCACAGCGATCAAATTCCACTACATCTTCAACCTCAGGGACTTCGCCAACATTTTCCAGGTGAGTCCGACCTCTCCGAGACCCCTTCGGAGGCTTGACAATGACCCTGTTCCCTCCATCCTTGGCCAAACTCTTCGACGAAGGCAGGGTCCTTATGGGGTGATGAACATATAAGTAAACGGAGTACCATGGGATCTGTGTGGGTCTATTCAACAGCTATTCTGGCTTCCCTGGAGACTCAGTGGTAAAGAATCCACTTGCCAATGCAGGAGACACATCGATCCCTGGTCCGGGCAGATCCCACATGCCTCAGAGCAGCTAAGTCCATGCACCAGGTGCCACAGCTACTGAAGGCTGAGTGCCCTAGAGCCTGTGCTCCAAGACGAGAGAAGTCACCACAGTGAGAAGCCCAAGCACCTCTACTGGAGAGTAGCCTCTACTCTCTGCAACTAAAGAAAAAGCCCTTGCAGTGACCAACATCCAGCACAGCCACAAATTTGTAAAATATAAAATTCTGTTAGTCAATTGAATTACTTCTCAGTAAACCAAATGCATTTTTTGAGTTGGTTCCTCCAAGCTGAATATGGCTCAGCATTTCAAAGATAATGTTATCTTATTCAGCCTAGGAAAAAGAGTGGCANCATTTTTTTTCCCATAAAAGGTTAATTTTTTAAAATGTGTAGCATTTATTGGCTTCCCTGGTAGCTCAGACTGTAAAGAATCTGCAATGCAGGAGATGCGGGTTCAGCCCCTGGGTCAGGAAGATCCCCTGGAGAAGGGAATGGCTACACACTCCAGTATTCTTTCCTGGAGAATTCCATGGACAGCGGAGCCTGGTCGGCTACAGCCTATGGGGTTACAAAGAATCGGACATGACTGAGTGACTAGCACTTCATTTCACAGCATTTTATCTGTACGTTTCAATTTTACATGATGTATGTTTTGAACTCAAGAATCATGGATATGATGGGCACAGTACTGGGGGGAACAGACAGTGAGAGGGAGGCAGGGAGAGGGGACAGGCACAGTCTAAGATTTCTGGCCATTTCCTAGACAGCAAGCAAATCCTTTACTAAATCAAAGGCCTGGAATTTAATACGACTTCTTATCAAGAAAGGCAACTCACTAATTTGAAACCAGGGCCAAAAGATTTCAATACCAGCTGCTCCAACTTCTAATAATTCCCAACATCTTTTTATTGTTTAGGATGGTAATAACATCAAACACGTCCTCCCCTCCATGAGGGACACATTTAGTTCAAAACCAGCCAAGATGGAAAACATTCGAAACACACAAAGCCGGAGGGTGATTGGGCCCACAGGTCATGGAGTTCCACCCAGGCTTCCCCCAGAATCAGCCTGGAGAAAAGGTCCATTTGCCGTAAGGGAGGCTCGGGTTCAGGTTTCTTGAGACGATGTTTAACAGTCCGCTCAGACACTCAGGCCTGTTCTGCGTTAACCTCCTCAGGTAATATTATCCAGAGGTCTCCAGTGTGTGGAAGGTGAGGGCTGGCTTCTCACTTGGAGACAAAGATGGTGCTCGAGCAGGAACCATGAGGGTCCCAGGGTCCGCCCTGGCTTTTCTCACACACTCACCTGAAGAGATCCCTTCCTTTCCAAGACTCCAAACGTCCCAAGAAACTGCTCAGGCCCGATTCTAGAAGTCACATCCAGCCCCCTTTCTTGACTCCCAGGGTCCTCGGAACATCAACTCTTCGTGATCATGGTATCTCCCCTGCCAGGTAAGTATGGAACATCAACTCTTGGTCTGTTTTCTGCCCAGCCTGCCGGAATCAGAACTTAGTGTCTTCACCCCAAACGGGGCTGTCCCCTCATTGCTCCACATCTCAGTAACCAGCCCCACCAGCCCCCCAGAGTCATCTTTGACCCCTGCTTCCCCCGTACTCCATGCCACCAATTAATCATCTAGTCTCTGTCTTAAGAATTGCAGGGTCTTTCCTGGAGGCTCAGTGGTTAGGAATCCACCTGCTAACGCAGACACATGGGTTTGATCCCTGATCTGGGAAGGTCCCACGTGCCACTGGGCTGCATGAGCTGCAATTACTGAACCCAGGTGCCCCCAGGGCCCATGCTCTGCAACAGGAGAAGCCACCACCACAAGAAACGCGTGTACCGCAGTGCAGAGTGACCCCACGGGCCACAACGACAGAAAAGCCTGCACAGCAACCTAGAGCAGCCCAAAATAAATAAATATAATTAGGAGGGAAAAAAAAGAGAACCACAGAACTGAACCCACTTCTCTCCACCCACTCTGCTCCTGCTCCAGTCTGGGGGGTGCCTCCTCTCAACAAGGTCACGGCTACCGATCAGCCCTGAGAAGGAGACGTGACCTAGCTGCTTCTGGCTGAAAGTCCGTGGACAGCTCCCTACCGACCTTGGGATGAAGGGCAGCCTCCCTGCCCGAACATCCAGGGGTGTGCGCAGACACCCCGTGGAGGTAATGAGATCAAGTCTGGGGTCACAGCCAGTGCTGACGAAAGTAGAATAAGATGGACGTGGAGGTCTCTGTGTGGGTGAGGGCGGCTGGTGGCGGGTGAGGGCGGCTGGTGTTGGCCGAGGTCGACCTGCCTGGGTGTCCTGAGCTATGATGTGAGTGCATTTCTCACTGTGGGCTGTAGTGAATACGAGTTTGAGACACGAGTGGATGAGAGCTTTGGTGAGTTGGCCCAACTCTCCAGGCCCCTCCTTGTCGCCCGCTGTGAGGTTCTCTAGTCGCCTCCAGATCCAGTTGCCCACTGCCCCTGGCCCTTTGCACAGGCTCTTCTCTTTGCTTGCCCCACCCTGGACTTGCACGTCTAATTCTCACTCCTCAAATCTCAAGACGAAAGTAGAATAAGATGGACGTGGAGGTCTCTGTGTGGGTGAGGGCGGCTGGTGGCGGGTGAGGGCGGCTGGTGTTGGCTGAGGCCTACCTGCCTGGGTGTCCTGAGCTATGATGTGAGTGCATTTCTCACTGTGGGCTGTAGTGAATACGAGTTTGAGACACTAGTGGATGAGAGCTTTGGTGAGTTGGCCCAACTCTCCAGGCCCCTCCTTGTCGCCCGCTGCGAGGTTCTCTAGTCGCCTCCAGACCCAGTTGCCCACTGCCCCTGGCCCTTTGCACAGGCTCTTCTCTTTGCTTGCCCCACCCTGGACTTGCACGTCTAATTCTCACTCCTCAAATCTCAGCTGAAATGTCCTTCCCTCGTAGAAGCCTTCCTTGGCCCCCAGGCGGGGTGGGCCCCCCGCCCCCGTCACCTTCCCTTCCCCAGTGTTGCCCACATCACAGTGCAGAGCAGTGGTTTGTGTCTGCTTTCCTGCTGTTGACTCCACTAGGACAGGAATTATGTCTGTCTTTCCCCTCTGTGACGCCCTGGTGGCTCAGAGGGTAAAGAGTCTGTCTGCAATGAAGGAGACCTGGGTTCGATCCCTGGGTTGGGAAGATTCCCCAGGAGAAGGAAATGGCAACCTACTCCAGTATTCTAGCCTGGAGAATCCCACGGACAGAGGAACCTAGTGGGCTACAGTCCATGGGGTCACAAAGAGTAAGACATGACTTTCACTTTCACTTTTCCTTCTCTGTTCCTGGCACGCAGTACATGGAGCGGGTACTCAGTGACCACGTGCTGAATGAACAGACACTTGAGCCTGTTCATTAATTCAAGCCTTGTGTGTTGCCTGAGCCCCTCTGCTGTGCTGGCCCTGTGGACACACAGAAACAAACAAGGCAGCATCACTGCCCGGCATTCAGAGGTAACATCTTCTAGACCTCTGCATCAGGACCACTGCTCCCCAGGGAAGAGCAAGTTCAGGAGCACAGCATCCTGTGGGTGATGCTAGGTGCTTAAGGAAAACTCTTTCGGACCCAAAATAAATCAAACAAACCTCCTCCAGCCCAAACGCGGAACTTGAGCATTGATTTCCAGCATGGAAATCTTGTATTTCATAAGACATTGTTAAATGAAAATTATGCTTACATGTCATATAAAATTTCATATGAAATAGATATGAAGTCCTTGGTTTCCTCAGAATTTTAACATTCTGGGGCAACAACAGGGTGCCTTGAGGACCTTACGGGCCTGACATGGTGTTCAAAAATAGCTCAACGTCTGCATTTAGTTCTTATGCTGGATTCCTGAGTTCTAGTTGTACTTTATGGGAAGGGTCGAAGTCTCAGACAGGTTGGGGTAACGGGAGATGTTGGCTCTGGAGTCCCAAACCGTCCCTCCAGGACTGGCTCATGGCACCAGGGTTCCCCAGAGGCCCTCAGATCAGTTCTGGGTCCCTCCTTACTCCCGAGTCTGCAGAACAATACTCTCCCTTGAGTTCAAAGTCTCCTCTGTTCTGCCATCTCTTGCATCTCTCAAAGGCGGAGCAAGTAAGGGAATACCATTAGCCTTCTCAAACCTTGTTCATTTTCTTTCCCGCGAAACAAGAGCCCCTCAGCAAATGCCCCCACCGCCCACTGACTGCATGAGCCAAAGACCCTTGGGGTCAGGCTGGACACTGTCCTTCCCGATAGTTCATCACCACTGCCTGCTGCTTTTATTCTTGTCTCTCGCACCATCCTTCTCTCTAGACCAGCCGTCCCCAACCTTTCTGACACCAGGGACTGGTTTACGGAAAACAACTTTTCCATGGACCAGGGCGGGGTGAGGGCAGTGTGGATGGCAGTGGGGGATGGCTCAGGGATGATTCAAGCGCATCACATTTATTGTGCTCTTTGTTGTTGTTATTTAGTCACTCAGTCATGTCCGACTCTTTGTGACCCCCATGGACTGTAGCCCACCAGGCGCCTCTGTCCTTGGGATTTCCCAGAGACTACTGGAATTGTGTACTTTATTTCTAATCTAATGCCACTGCTGATGTGACAGGAGGTACTGGTCCACGGCTTGGAGGTTGGGGACCCTGCTCTACACCACAACCCCAGCATGAGTTTTGACCTGAATTAACACATAAAGGCTCTGAGAAGTCCTGCCCGAAAGAAACCCTTGGCACAGTTACCCAGCCTTTCCAAATCCTATGTGGTCCTGGAATACTCAGACCCTCCACCACATCTCCCAAGACTATGCCTCATGGGATACTCTTTGGGAAACACCTCTGACCTTCCTAGGGGGTCCCCAGCATGTCCACTCTATCCTCACTGCAAGCTGTTTCCCAGATTTAGCCGATACCAGCTTCCTTCTCTAAAATCCCAGGCACCTCCATCAGTCCCAGCGATGACCAGGGGGCACCTCTCCCCATCAAGAGAGGGTCCTCACAGTCAGATGCTAAAGCAGGAGCCAGAGAACAGGTACCAAAGACCAGTGAGGAGACATCACTTCAGTCTCTCAGTTCTCCTGGTTTTCCAACCATTCGTTTAAGAAAAAGCTCTAGGACTGAGTAACTTCCCTAAACTTACCAGCTGGCTGACCACAGAATCACCAGCTTCATTCACTAAGCAGGATTCTACGCTCGGAGTTGGAAATACTGAGTTCGGCCTACTTTTTATATACATATTTTTAAAAAAACTTTCCTCAAGGAATGATACCATGAATGGAAAGAACCCTAAAAATATAAATTCTCTACAATTGAGCAAATTCAGGGACAATGAAAAGTCTAATAATAAACTTGAGACAGACTAAACACCACATAATTAGCACACTTGAACCAAAGGCAGAAGAAAAACATGTAATTAAATCTGAATCTTTTAGGAGGAAATAAAAATGGTCCAATAATAGCTAAATCAACCAGAATGAGAAAAGTTATAAAAAGCAACCTCCAACTGATTTCCCCAAGAAGAAGATGATATAGGACCAAACAGCAAAGGCTGGAAGAAGGGGAGAAGTTCTCTACGGATACAGAAAAGTGAGATGAGATGGTTGGGTAGCATTACCGAATCAATGGACACGAGTTTGAGCGAACTCTGGGAGTTGCTGATGGACAGGGAAGCCTGGCATGAAGCAGTCCATGGGTTGTAAAGAGTCGGACATGACTCAGTGACTGAACAACACAGAACTGAGTGAAGCTGTTATTTCCAAAAGTAAATGATTGCTTTTCCAGAAGCACCCCGAAGGCTGAGTTCGCTTACAGTTGGTGAGAACAAAAACCACAAGTTTACAAAATTCAGTTCACAGGTGAGTATTCATGATGCAAAAACCTGTGGTTCCTGGAACAGCCTAGAGCATTTCCACCCCCGGGCCTTTGCACTGTGGTTCCCTGCCTGAAGACGTCTCCAAACGATGCCAGGGCTCCCTCCTCACTCGTTCTCAGCTCTGCTCAGACACCCTGGCTGACACAGAATCCCCAGGTGCTCTCTGGGCTTCTACTGGGCTTTATTTTTCTTCAGACAAAGCATAACCTGACTCAGCATTGTACTATGTGTTCGTGCTCCGAATAGTTGTGTTTTTGAGACCTCGCTGACTGTAGTCCACCAGGCTCCTCTGTCCATGGGATTCTCTAGGCAAGAATACTGGAGTGGGTTGCCATTTCCTTCTCCAGGGGATCTTCCCAACCCATGGATTGAACACGCCAAAGGCGTGAATAGACGCACCTGGGGAGTTTGTTGACTCAGCTAAAGGAAAGCGCGTCTTCACCCTCGATGTCGCGTTATAGATGTTGTTGAGTGGTACTGGTAACTACAGCTGCCCTCGGCCCATTCCTGGCGCTGAGTGGTCCTGGCATTGAGTTTGCTTCTCACGAGCACCTTTCTGGGGATGTTCAGGTCTCTGGGGAGAAGGGATGCTTAGGGAGCAGCCACCGA